TAGGGAAATGGATTGTGCAGGGGTGTGTACCCGATCGGGTATATGTGGCTCCCGATCGGGTACACTCAGAAGCTTCCCGGAAGCTAAAAACGTCATGCATACCTGACCGGGTATGTCGGCTACCCGATCGGGTATGACATTCGAACATGGCCAAAATCTTCCCCGCATGTTGATTTGTTCCCGGATTGATCCGATTTGATTTTTCAGCAGGGTACCCGATCGGGTATAGGTCATACCCGACCGTGTACAACACAAAAATTCAGGATCTTTCTTTTGTCTTGAGATTTTGCACTTTCCTTCCACTTTTGATGTACACCCATGGCCCTAGAGTGATCTTGGACCTGTTTGAGCTCAGAATAAACCTAATCTAAACAAATTAAAAGTATTTTACAAACTAAACTATTACACCAAAAGTGTGTAATTTCCAAAGTAACGATCAATCAAAACTAACTAAAAATACAAACATAAACATGGAAATTGCATGTTCATCAACGGGCCCGGTGTAGAGTGGGTTTCCCGGAAGGGCCAACAATATTATGATGGGGGTGAGTTCTTTACTCAGGCCCTCATCTACCGGAGGATGGCCCGTCATCTGAAAATCGACCCGAAGGACTTCGACCCAGCAGCGTATGGCCTCCCTCCCCTTCACCCAGATGTTCGTGTTCCCCTCCCTCCGGATGTCTAAAGGCCAGACCTAGAAGACACAAAGCTGATGAAGGAGGTCGAGGGCGATGGTGAGGAGGCTGGAGTAGAGGTCACTTCGAAGCCTGTTGAGGAAGCAGAGGCTGAGTGAAATTATTCTTTAGCAATTTTTGTACAGTTTTGTAATGAACATCTGCGTGCTTTCGACCTCGGCCATTCAGTAATACACATTTCAACTATTCCTTCCTCTTGATGAATGAATGTCTGCCTTCGGGCTTTTGTACCTAATTCGTTTTCCTTTGAATGTTTTTCTTTGAATGCATGCCTTCATTTTCTTTGAATGTATGCCCTCGTTTTTTTTTTGAATGTATGCCTTCGTTTTTCTTTGTGAATGAATGTATGTTTGTGCGGTATTCTGGCCGAGGGGCCAACTTTTAGGACTTAGAAAATATTTCTCGAAGTATAGTGCGTCTCGTAGCCCTCGGCTACTAGGCCCGTTTAGTCATCTGAATATCTCACCGAGGGCCACACGTTCAGGACTTAGAAATTTCTTCTGTGTTGTTCATCTGTTGGCCCTCGGCTAATTCCTCCCCTCTGTCTCTGTGTAGCCTTCGTGAGATGACCGGAGGTCAAGCGCTTAGGACTTAGAAAATTTCTTTGTGTTTGAATATCATCTGGCCTTCGGCATGTGGGCGTTCTTTGTTGTATGGATAGATAACCGAGGGCTCAAAATATTTAGGACCTAGAAAATTTTTCCAAGTGTAGTTTCACCAAACCTTCGACCGAGTGACCCCTCTGGCTGTATGGAGATTTGACCGAGAGTCAAAAACATTTAGGACTTAGAAAGTATTTCTAAGTGTAGTTGTACGGGATAGGAGCCTTCGGGTGAATGTGAGAGCCTTGTCGTAGGTGTGCCTTCGGTTGACCGGTGACTCGACAGGGGGCAAAGTATTTAGGACTTAGAAAATTTTCTCTAAGTGTTGTTTTTGTATCACGCCTTCGGTTGTGTAGCCCCTCTGGTTGCATGAGGATCTGACCGAGGGCCAGGATATTTAGGACTTTAGAAAATCTTTCCAAGTGTTGCTTGTCACTTTCTCTAAGTGTTGTATTTAGGCCTTCGTTGCATGATGGGTTGGCTGAGGGCCAACCACCTAGGGCTTGGGACACTTTCCATATTCCATGGTGAATAGACCCTCCGAGTTGTGGTATCTTGAGTAGAAGTTGCCTTTGATCTTTATTGATCAGAAGAGCCTTCGGACTTTATCATGCTTCCAGGGGTGGACTTAATGAGATTTCGTTAGAACATCGATGACGTAGTAGGTGCCGATGGGGATGTAGGTGCCTTCGGCATTACTTGAAATATTGTTGAGTGAACCTATCAAGTCTTGTATCATTTGAGCCTTCGGTTTTGATGTGGCCAGAGGCAATCCAAAAGTGGACTTAACCATTTGTTGATGATACTTATTGAATAGTATCTTTGGTAATTAGGAGCTTCCAGGTACCGAAGGTGTTCCTGTGGGGAGCCCTCGGTATGTTCTTGTGAATTGTTGGTGGGGGGTGTACTCATTGATCTCTCGCTGAGTCTACTCCCCTTCACTCCCTCGTTTTTTTTTTCTTTCTTTCTTTTTTTTTGTTGGTAGTGAAGGGAAGACTTCAAGAAACTTGGTTTCTTGGCAAGGCTTGGCCTATCGGGAGGTAATAAAATACACCATTAGCTCCCCCCTCGGGTTAACCTTCCGAGTTTCGAGGGGATCGAGGGTCGTTTCCTGGGCACAAGACATGGTCTGTAGCCTGCCTCCCCTTGGGAGATGGCACGGAAAGCGCCTCAGTTTTGAAAGTCGTCCCCTCGGCGCCAGACATAGTCCGTGGCCTGCCACACCCTTGGGGTAGTGGTGCGGGGAGCGTTTCGATTTGGAAGTCGAATCCTGGGCATATTAGATGCCTGTCAATCCCTTGGGGAAATGGCGCGGAAAGCGTTCCGTTTTTGAAAGTCGAATCCTGGGCATATTACTTACCTATCATACCCTTGGGGTAGTGACGCGTAAAGCGTTTCACGGAAAGGTTTTCATTTTCACACTGGTTGCAAATGGCTGGTGGCACTACGTGCTACCGGCACCGAGAGGTTGCGCCTTCGGTATATGCGTCCTCGAGGGGTACGGCTTTAGAAACAACACTTGGTGTTTGTTTCGGTATACGGCCCCCGGTACTTGATACCGAGGGGTCTTCTGTAAAAAAAACATTTGGTGTTTTTACTCATTTGTCGTAGGTGATTGAGGTGTATACCCTCGGCACTTGGTACCGGAGGGTCTTCAAAGGAAACACTTGGTGTTTTGCTTCCGTTTGTTGAAAGTTGATAGTAGTGTATCCCCCCTGGCATTGGGTGCCGAGGGGTCTTCTATAGAAACACATGGTGTTCTCTTCTACTTTGTGGGTGGCAGTATAGTCTACCCTCGACACTTGGTATCGAGGGTTCTTCCTTGTGATCGGCCTTGGGCCACGGGTTGATATGAGGGCTTGGCCGCTCATAAGAGTCTCGTTCCATGTTCTTGGTGTCTTCAATATGCCTTCATTCTTCAAAAATTAGAGGCCTTGGGCCGTGAAATAATACATTCACTACATATGAGGGCTTGGCCGCTCTAATGTTATTGATAAAATTTAACTAAGTGATGTACATTCCAGTGTCTAGGGACCTCGGTCCCATTGGGGCGTTTTAGTTTGTAAGTTCCTGGTTTGACGACGGCCGCCACAACGTAGGGGCCTTCGAACTTCGGTGCCATCTTCCCGCCCTCGGTTGGCTGGCTGGCTTCCCTTCTTCGGAGGACATAATCCCCCACTTGGAATTCCCGGGAGCGGACTTTGGCGTCAATGTAACTCTTCACTTGCCTTCGGTAGTTTTCCGCGCGTATGAAGGCTTGCTCTCGGCGTTCTGAAATAAGGTGAAGGTTGAGGACCATATTGGCGTCGTTGACCTCGGAGTCATACTGTGTGACCCTTCGGGTCGGAAGAGTTACCTAAGTGGGGGCCTTCGCTTCAAATCCGTAGCAAAGAGAGAAGGGTGTCTCGTCTGTTGCTCGCCGAGGGGTGGTACGGTAGGCCCATAAGATGTTGTGGAGCTCTTCTACCCAACCACCCCCTTCGGTCTCCAGTTTCTTTTTTAGGCCCTCGAGCAAGGTCCTGTTGGCGTTCTCCTCTTGACCGTTGCCTTGAGGGTAGGCAACGGATGAGAAGGTGTGTTTGATGCCCCACGCCTCTAGGAGGGCACAGAAGGGGGCTGTCTCAAACTGAGTCCCATTGTTGGAGATGATTTGCTAGGGGACGCCAAACCTTGTGAGGATGTTCTTGACAACAAAATGACGGCACTTGGCCTCAGTAATGCTGGCGAGGGGCTCAGCTTCCACCCATTTGGTGAAGTAGTCGATGGCGACGATGATGTACCTGTTGTTGGAGGTACCCCTCGACAGAGGGCCCACAAGGTCTATGCCCCATCGAGCGAAGGGTATGGATGTGCTGATGGGGTCATAGTTCACCGCTGGCCTACCGGGGGCTTTCTGGAAGTGTTGGCATGCGGTACACCTTCGGGCGAGATCTGCACAATCCCGGGCCATCGTAGGCCAAAAGTAGGCCTGGATTATTAGCCTTCGGGACATGGAGAAGGGTCCCTGGTGAGCTGAACAAGTGCCACTGTGCACTTCCTCCATCACAACTTCGGCTTCATCTTGATGAAGGCACCGAAGTAATGTCCCATTGTACGATCTTTTGTAAAGCCTTCCGTCTTCGATAGTGTAGCTGGGAGCTCTCAGCTTTGCTAGCTTGGCATTGCCTCATCCTCGGGCAGTTGCTGTAGCACCGTCCCCAATCATATTTACTTTTAGTAACACTACAATAAAATTGCCTTGTAGAGGCATTGCATAATTGCCTCTAAATATAAGAAAATAGCCTCTAAAGGTTTTTGGAGGCAATTTAGTGGTTGCCAACAAAAATTCAGTCGCTAAATGGTGTTTGCCTCTAAAAACCCCCTTTAGAGGCAACAAAGCATGTGCTTCTAAAAAGACATATTTAGAGGCAACCATATTATTTCACCTCAAAATGTCATTCGAGGCAATCATGTTATGTTGTCTTATAATGCAATTAGAGTCAACCATATTTAATGACTCAAAAAGTTTTTAGAGGCTATATTACATTGTGAGACAACTTTTAATATTGTTGTGAATTGTTTTTAGAGGCAACCATATATCATTGTCATTTTGTCGTATATTAATATACCATACATTGTTTGTTGTACTTTAGATATATAAATATATAAATAAATTAATAGCTAATAACATGCATCAACAAAGTAATTAAATTCTTTCTTTGTAGAATAATATAGAAAGACAAAATTTAGCTTAAACTAATTACTTAAAAAGTAACTGCACCGGTACATAGTTTATTCAAACTCATCTGCACCTCCACAACTTAAGAAAAAACTAACTAGCCAGAGTTAATTTAGCAACTACTAAAAACATTAAGATGGGACAAAGTATGCCTACGGGCTAGAATAAATGCTTAAGAAAGTTCATTCCTCATCATTAGCATCATCATCGCCGCCGCCACCATCATCATCATCATCACTATTGTCATCATCATGGACTTTTTTATGCTCCTTTTCAACCTATCACATATAATAACGGTAGACAAGTATTTTCGGTAACTAAAAAAAATTTAAACTGAAAATAATGAAAAATAAACTAATGAATTACCTCATTCAAAAATAACTTTAAAATCGCCTCCCATAAGGTTGAAAAACTTTCTGATAACACCCTTCATAATTCTTACTTCTTTTTTGAAATTTTTCACCTCCTTAGTGAGCATTTTATTTTTTGCATTAGCTTCGTAAGCTTCTTTTTTAGCCTCATTAGCTTCCTTCTTTGCGTCTTCAGCCTCTTTGCGAAATTTCTCTCCTTCACTAAACCACCCAAACAAGGAAGTAATGGACGGACTTACTCCCTTTCCACGATCACGGCCATTTTTACCTTTGGGTTTAAGTTTTGCATAAATGTCTTCATTTGTCATGCTGATTTCTCCTTGTTCACGCTGCTCTACAAGCTTATTTATTCTTAACTACACTCAATTATACAATATATGCAATTAATATAGGTCAAAGAATTTGAGAAACAAGCTGTACTTGCAATCGATATAATTAACCTTATAAAAAATCTGCATTTACTACTACCAGTAGGATATACAATCTATACTAAAAGTTTATAATTAACCTTATAAAAAACCTGCAACTATGTAAAATCTACAACTATGTAAAATCTGCCACACTTTTTTTATTGAACACTCACTTTTTATTTTACATGAAAAGTTGATACCAAGAAGGCAACACAACAATAGTTCATAGGATAAAAAACTAGGCAAAGATAGAGGCAAACAAGTGTCTCTAAAGCACAGGGTGGGGTTAACATTAAACTAAAAGAAAGCAGTCAAATACTTCCTAAAAATAAGTCATTTTTTTTTATCTTTCCTAGTACAAAAGTAATGCCTTGACCAAGGACATATGATGATTCATGTACGAAAGAAAGAAAAAATTAGCACAGATGGCTGGTACATTACAGACTAAGCTGGGACATAAACCAACATGTACATGTACATAATTAAATAAGATGATGTAAAGACCGAAGGTGAAGCCTATAGTTGCAGAGATAAATATGTTGAGCTTCCATCTTCATATACACCAGAAAATCTTACTCCTGAGTCCTGATATTACCAACTTACTCCTGATAAATAGTGTATAACTTCAACAAACAAAATGAAACTACAACTCCAATAGTCGAAACTAATGTCCAACTACTATATATGCAACTACTATAATATCAAACAATTTGATAAACAATATGGAAGCAAGTATGCCTTCCTCTAAACCATAGACCTCTGTAACTATGTAATACGACAGAAGGCATAAACATGTATTGTGTTTCAAGTAATGAACTCATATACAAAAAAACACACAAGATAGATGCATGGATAGATGACAATATGAAATTTACCATAGTTTCTTTAGCAACATTTGTCACCAGAGTTTTATCACTTCTGGTATGAGTCTTCTGATACACTTTCAACACACCGGGCATTACTTGATCATTTTGGAACTATCATGATAGAAAAATAGTTATATTCGATAAATAATAATTAATAAAAAAATCACGATAAACATATTAATATTACCATATCTTCTACAACTTGAGCAAAACTCTTTGAACCAGCGGTGTGTCCGGCATCAAGGTATTAGCGGTTATTACTGTTTCATTTGCTCATTTTCTATCACAAAAACCAAATGTCATGATCCTGAACACAAAGAACACAAAGCACTTCAAATCCTGAACAAGACTATATTCATCATATATACGAGTTTAACATATATTCATCATCTACTTATAACGAGTGCAACCATAATAAAAACTCTCATGCTATAATGAGTTTAATACATATATATACACACACATACATACTACATACCTTTCTCCATAATAGAATCTTCACTGTTTCCATTATGTTGCTCGTCCATATCTATAGCATGCATGTTCCGATAAAATATAGTTATTATAATATACTTATCTATATATGCATGTGTATGAGTTTGTGTCTTTGCTTGAATTAATTAGAAGGTATAAAGCTATTAATATAAAAAGGGGCTTTAAAAATCAAAGTATAAAACATGAAATATATGTATGCTCAACCAGAAACACCAATGATATTAAAAAAGCGGCTATTGTAACATTAGAACTCCGCGGATCAAAAAGAAATTAAAAAATTAAACAAACAGTATTCATAGTGAATAGTAATAACACAATAAAATGTGGAATAACTTAAGCAAAAAGGAAAGCTTTGAGAATTTCTTACAACCTGGATATAACTCTAACTCAAGATCACTCATCAGTTTGTAAAACTTATCAACAGATTCTAGAGGGTCTTCATATCCGCTCACATTATCTTCTTCACCAACTGCATATTCTTGTCTTGGCATTTTGAATGCATCATGTAGCATATCAAACATTGAAGTAAATTCAGGATATTGAGTTGACTGAGGTGTAATATCGTTATGAGTTGTCAAACAGTCAGTTCTTTCCCCATGTCGTATAACTCTTCACAATTCCAAATTTCAGCAAATCCAGCTCTACTTCCTCTCTATTTTTCCTCAGTTCATTATTGCATTTTACACAAGGACAAGGTCCCACATCTTGCACATTTTTTTTTTGAGAAAAAGAAAACTCTATGAACTGTTTCACGCCGGTCTTATACTTTGGGTCATTTTTTTTACTGCATCCACTCACGATTCTTGGACCCCATAATAATGTTCTATGATTTACAAATATTCATATAAGAAGGATAAATCATATGGGTAACTAATATATAAACTGAAGAAATTTTGTCAATAAAAAACATACTCAAATAATCATGTAACAGATGGACATGATAAAAAACTAATGGTTATGCAATTGACTCTAAATGTGTTTTTTGTAACTATATTTGAATAACTATCGTATTATTATAGCTTCAACTACTGGTTAAGCCTCCTTTCTTTACACAGATTAATATGAAAACAAAAAATAATCTAAAATAAAATAGAATCAAATACTCATAAAATCAACAAATATCATAACAAAAACCAACAAAAATTGAGGTCTTAAACCCATCAAATATGTTGTTCAAAGTTCAAACATCACATAAAGCAAATGTATATAAAAAATTAAATTATTTACGTCCAATTCATATGTATGAATAGGAACATTTTAAAATATTAAAATTGAGCACTTTGCTCATATATTAGAAACCATACCGGCATTATTATTCAAACAGTGCAGCTGCTCATTTTTGCAAGAATATGAAAAGAAATAAAAGTAATTTTAAGCCAAACCTGGTTTTCGTGAAGCGATGAAGAAAAAAATTAATAAAATTTGAGGCAATATTCTTGTAGCCTTTACACGGAAACGCTTAACGCAGAACTTGCAACCTTCTTTGGTCGCAGTCATCACTTGAAGGAGTAAACTCGCAGGTTCACAATCACAGAAAACCTTATATATGTAATTCTTTTAAAAAAATAGTGGCTTATTTTCAGATGTGGGTCCGAGTTATTCACAAAACGTATAACAAATTATTACATATATAGCATCAAGTACTAATCTTGATATCTATTTATACAAAACTATTAGTAGTATAAGGTTTAGGTCCCGACCAGTTGTCCAAGTGATCCAGTCGATCTTTAATTATGTGCGATGTACCTATATGAATACTGAAATCTAATTGTGGTGTGTTTTAACTGAGTGTGATTTATTTTACAGGATATTAACATTCAAACAAATTTAGATTTATCCAAATCACTAAAATTGCCGTCAAAACATTATAGATAATACAAAAATTTCAAACAAACCAATTCTAAGAAAATGTAAAACTTCTAAATACAATGACAATTAAACAAAACAACTACTTTACCCATATCAATATTCAATATAGTACAAACAATATGTCAATATTAATATAGCAAATAGCCATATTAATCCAATAAATTTAAAATAATAATTTAGGAATTAGGAACTGAATTGACTTGGATATATTAGGAATTTCAAAGGCATGAATTGGCAAACCACCTTTACTGTTAGTGTGCCGCTTTACATTTTTTATTCTATTCCACTCTTTATGGAGTAGAGATTAGAGAATAAGGTTATAGAGAAGTCGCAAAGACAGAGACTCACTGTTCGGATGAGAAATTATTGCTGCTTGCCTGGTTTTCCTTCACATCATCACTGTTTCGGACTTGGCCACGGCTGATATGGGAGTTTCGATTGTGGTCTTCAGCCTTATGGAAGCGCGGCAGTTCGGCGGATGCGTGGAGCTGTGGAGTAGATTGAATCCCTCTGGCCGATTGAATCTCGGATCTCTCTGGCCGATTGAGCGAGTCTGCTGCGGTTTCCCTTTGCCGCAGCGTGAAGCTGCTGGGGTTTCCCTTTGCCGCAGCGTGAAGCCTGCTGCGGTTTGCCTTTGCTGCTGCGGTTTGCCTTTGTCGCTGAGTATATTATTTGGACCAAAATGATGGAAGGAAAAGAGGTTGTTGGGTCTTAGGGTTAAGGAAATTTGGCCGATTAAAATTCCTGAGCGGCAAAACTAATTTCCTACACGAGCGCGGGTGCGGGAGCTTAAAATATTGAGCCGCAAAAACTAATACTCTTAAAAGAGTTAGCGGCAAATTGAAATGTTTAGTAAAAGTAACACCAATAAAAAGTAATACTTCTTTTATTCATTTTTAATTGCAATTTTTATATTCTCACGTTTATTAATTTATAACCTTGATATCATTCATATATTTTATTTCTTATTACTAAAAATTAAAAAAATTAAAAATAATTAAAATAAATTGAAATTTTAAGTCGAGTAGAATTTAAAGGTGAGCAAAAAAAATTAAAGTTTACTCCCCAGTAAAATTAATAATTATAAGTCTGTAATAATGTTTGAAAATGTTAAGTTTATTATGTAAATTCAATTACGTGTATACACACATTTAGAGACAACCGTAATTTAGTTAACGTTATATATATATATATATATATATATATATATATATATATATATATATATATATATATATATATATATATATATATTTAGAGGCATAAATGTGTTATTGCCTCAATAAACTTTTAGAAGCATTTGTTTTAGAGGCAGTTATGCTTTTGTGTCAAATTTTGGAGGCAGACATAAAAACGTTGCTCCCAAATGATAGTTTTTAGAGACAGGCACAATATGGTTGCTCCCAAATGATAGGTTTAGAGGCAATCACAATATGGTTGTCTCAAATGATAGTTTTTAAAGGCAAACATAACTTATATGATGCAAAAACATATTTTTAGGGACAACAGAATATAACTTGCCTCGAAGAGTTGCCTCTATAAATCATTTTTTTTGTAGTGTAAATTATGTAATAAACCTTGAAGGGTGATTTATGAAATTGCGTAATTGTAAATTTTTATTATTTCTTTTACGTGAATAGTAAATTACATGTGGGGCCCACGCCCGGACCGGGGGGGCCGCCCGATAATTCCCGAACCACATATTATATTCATCTTGGTCTAGATGACATCTATATGGAGTTGGATATTTTATTTGGGCCATAAGAAAGGCATGGAGTTGACCGGTTGGTCAAACGGGGCCCAATTACCGGTATTGGTGATTTAGCGGATAACAGCCCAAAATGAGTTTCGGAGACTCCTAAATTAATGTTGGGGAATGTACATCTATTCTAAAGGCCCAAAATTGTTGGGAACGCGTGATATATTTTATTTGGTTCGATAAAATAAAATATGATTAAAATGGGCCGAGAAATACAACTTTCGGGGCCGATTGTACACACCGGGACATAATGGGATGAACTCCCACATAAGTGGGGGCCACCCCACGTTTTAGGGGTGCTGATTGATCAAATAATAGGGGAAGCCTCATGGAGACAAACTCACACTCACCCATTAATTTCCTTTGGACTCTTCATGAGAGTGATTGGGTTGAGAGTAAAGAATACTCCCCCACTCCTACTCTAATCATTCGGATAACTCACACAAGAGAGGGAGAGGGAGGAGACTTGAGAAGATCTCAGAATATTCCTGAGCTTGAAGAACCAAAGGAAGAAGGAAATCCAAAAAGAAAAGGCTTGAGTTTGAGGTAAGAGCTCAACTAGTATTTTCTTTAACTAGTTTTTGTGTATGATTTTTAAGGAATCATATGGTGGATTAAACCATGAGTTCTACACGTTTAAAAGTGTAGAATATTGATATAAAGTGGTGGTAATTAACTTAGAAGGGTTGGCAAATCGATAGGAGTCGAAATCGCCGGAAACCGCCACTCCAAAGGAGCTGTTCGTAGTTGCAGACTACGAAAGCCGCCCGGCTTTCGTGAAAGCCGCCCGGCTTTCGTGAAAGCCGCCCGGCTTTGGCCCAGGAATCTAGTTTTTCACTTTCAATCGGCCTAGAACGGGGATTGATCGAGGGGCTTAACAAAGGCAACTATTGTAGCACATCACGAGGTGAGGATGGCTGACTATATTGCTTATAATTGTTGGGTTAATTTCGTAAGATTACCTAAGTTGTTAAATGTGATTTTCATGGATTATTAATGAATAATAATGCCTAAATGAAAATACTATTGCATGTGAAAAGGTGAAGCATGATATACAAATTTAGAATAAATTGTGTATGATTATGTGATATGAAAGTGATGGTATGATGATGAAATTAGCTATGATAATATTGTGACAAAAATATACTTTTACTTCATGTATGAAATTCATGAATGGTTAAAAGTGATATTCTTGATATTTGGATTAAACTATATTTATCAATTGAGATGAATTAGTTGGCTATGAATTAAGAACTTGGTGGTTCTAAGATTATCCGACTAGTGTTGGGATACTAGTCGGGAGATTAATATAAATAAATGATGGAATTAATCCTAAGAGATAGGATTGTAAATGGGTATGCCTTAAGTAGTCTTAAGAGATACTTTAAGGTTGAATTGTATGAACACTAAGGTGTGGTAGGGGTAGGCCTAAAGGCTACCCAAGTGAATTGATTCTAGGCATAGGATTTGCTTGAGAATTGGACTATGAAAATAAAGTAGAGTTGGACTCTAGGATTGCATGGAAATGTAGTTGGGCCGAGCCCTTGCCATGTAATGTGATTAGCATGGAAACGTAGTTGGGTCGAGCCCTTGCCATGCATATGTGATCTCCGTGGAAACGTAGTTGGGCCGAGCCCTTGCCACGAAGTTATGGTTGGTATGGAAACGTAGTTGGGCCGAGCCCTTGCCATACAATTTTGATGTGTTATATTGAGTTAGAGGATTGTATAGAAATGTAGTTGGGCCGAGCCCTTGCTATACAATTGGGGCTCGATGGGACCCCATGGGGTTATCGTGACATGCAGTCACGGGGGGAAGAAAATAATGAATTCTAAATGAATATGGGCCACGGGCCGACTACTTGACTTCATATAAAGTAAGCATGATTTAAATAGCAAAAAGGGGTAACCGAGGGTTATGGCCTGTAATATAATATCACCCTGAATTGAGGGTCTTAGAAATTTAAACATTGATTATACTTAGTATAGTTGCTATTGTACTTGTCAAATATTTCCAAGTGCTGACCTCCCCTTCACGGGGGAGGCCACCTCACAGTTTCAGGTAGAACTTGAAGGTTGCTGCCACTGCCCGTTGCTTCGGGAAGATCAAAGGAAGAAGACGTGGTTCGTGCTTCTTCCGTTTCAGTTTTGAAAACAATTTAAATAATGCTCATGGATAATATTTTCTGAATAATTACTTTGGGGGCTTGCATGCCTAATTATGCCAAGTGTGGCTTGAACACTTGTATCAACTATTTCCGCTGCTTTAATAAATGTTTTACATTATGTTTGTTTATGGATGTACTATGTGTGAATGGTATTCAAGACGCCTTGTATAGTATGGATGTGTTGGACTGCGGTTGACTATTCATACTGTACGGTGGATTGTTGACGTGTCCGGCTAGGTCCGGGGCGTGACAGTTGCCCCGTGGTGATGAAGGCGACAATGTCTGAGATCCAATCTTCTTGCCTTTGTTGTATGTGCATGATGGGGCTAGCATGTATGCTGGAGAGGCTGAGCTCCTCGATCTTGGCAATCTTTGAGATATGCTCAGGGGATTCGGCCGAGAGCTTTGATAAAATGTCGGCCTCGGAGTTTTGAGCCCTCGGTATTTGAGTAAGAGAGTGTGCCTCAAATACCTTAAGCAACTCCTTGGCCGCTTCTTTGTACTGCTTCATTCTCCCTTCCTTGGCTTCGTAGTCCCCGGAAATTTGGCCGACAACTAATTTGGAGTCGCACTTTACGTGGATCTGTCGGACCTTCATGTTAGCCGCCAACCGAAGGCCACAGAGGAGGGCCTCGTATTCGGCTTCATTGTTAGAGACTTTGAAAGAGAAGCGGACTGCGTAATAGGCCCGGAAGCCTTCGGGTGAGATGAGAACCACCCCTCCTCCACATGCCTTGACGGTGGAGGAGCCGTCGGTGTAGAGGGTCCACCAATCGTCCGAGGGGGCCGAGAGCTCCTCGTCCGTGGCTGATCTTGCTGTACATTCCGTCACGAAGTCCGCTAGGGCTTGGCCCTTGATGGCGGGCCTAGGACGGGTGTCGATGTTGTATTGGCTCAGGAAGACAACCCATTTTACCATTTGGGAGGAGCTGGTGGGGCTCCTCATCAAAGCGCCGAGGGGTTGGTGAGTGAGGACCTGGACCGGGTGAGCTTGGAAATAATGGCCCAACTTCTTGACAGTCCACACGATAGCCAACACCGTTTTTTCCACAGGGGAATACCGGAGTTCTGCTTCCCTGAGGGTCTTGCTAACATAGAAGATGACATGTTGGATGCCATCGTCTTCCCGGATGAGTACTGAGCTGATGGCTGCCGGGCTAACACCCAGGTAAAGGTATAGGGTCTCCCCACCTTGGGTTTAGAGAGCACAAGGGGTGAAGATAAGTACCGTTTCAGTTTCTCGAAGGCCTCCTGACACTCTGAAGTCCTCTGGAAGCCGGGCGGTCTTTCTCATGATCTGGAAGAAGGGTAAGGACTTCTCTGCCAATTTTGATAAGAAGAGATTGAGGGCTGCCAGGCGGCCCGTCAATCGTTGGACCTCCTTTACGTTGCGTGGAGGCTCCATGTTGATGATGGCCTAGATCTTCTCGGGGTTGGCCTCGATACCCCTTCGGCTCACCATGTAGCCCAAGAATTTTCCCCCTTGTACGCCGAAGGTGCACTTCTTCGGGTTTAGCCGAAGACTGAACTTCTGCATGATGGCGAAGATTTCCCTCAGGTCGTCAGCATGGCTCGCTGATTGCTTGCTTTTGACGATCATGTCGTCAACATATGCCTCCATGGTGCGCCCTAGGACAGCTTGAAAGACCCTGGCCACCATCCGGGTGTAGGTGGCGCCTGAGTTCTTTAGGCGGAAGGCCATGACAAGGTAGCAGAAGATGCCATCGCGAGTCATGAAGGCTGTTTTTTCAGCGTCTTCCTCATGCATAAAGATTTGATGATACCCGTGGAATGCGTCGAGAAATGACATGATTTCACACCCTGCGGTTTCA